TGGAGAAAACTGGAAAATGATGGGTTTTTAATGTGATTTATCCCTCACCGGAAAACTCAAGGGATTTTCACCCCTTATAAAGGTGACCCTCTTTGAAGGAGTTAAGATTCCTAGGTGAAAAGGCTCTCATAACGTGCAAGGGGGTGGAGATCAAATCCCGAAAACGGAGAAGAAAAACCGCGACTTGCGTGTGCGGGTGACCTGCGGACAGGAATGTCGTCCAAAGATACGATTAAATTTTTTTGCCCTCCCGTAACGTTCCTATCATCTTCGCATTAGAAGAGCGCTTCTATTCTGTTCACACAAGGATAGCTTTAATAATGCTCTGGTCGCACGAGAACTCCTGTAAACCATTACAGCCTTTATTGTCCATCGTTCTTTCCCTTTAATGCGTATTTAAATGGACAGTTTCTGGACATATCAATGCCCAACGTTCTAGTCATTTACGTCCAACTTTCAGGTTCATTAAATGTCACTTAACACACAACAAATTAATCTCTATATATAGCTAGCAAGTGATTTGCAACAACACGTGAATCATACACATTATACACGTAGTTTTCAGCTAAAACACACCTTCAGCTCTCTGAAAATTCTCCGTTGTTTGTAGCCACCGTATCCTGGAAAACTATCGTTGCAACGCCCCTAGCACCGTGGGAGGCAACGAATATGTTTTAAGGAAATTGTGTGTTGCACAAGTTTTGGCTTTTTGTCCCTTCTTGTTTTTGTTTTCTTGGCTATTTCTAATTAATTAATTTAATTCCTTTATTTTCTGATTGAACACACAAATTTACCCAACAATACATACTTAGTTTTAATCTCTCCTCAGTCGTGCTCTAGCCTCTAAGACCATTTCAAAAATTATGGTATTATAATTATATTTCCGTTTATTTTCATTCGTATTTATCAAATTTAAGTATTTATCAAGCAATCTCTTCTAGTTAAAAAAAAAAAAATCGATGAAGGACCTTCCTTGATGATTAGCAAAGTGATAACCTTAATGTGCTGCTAGATGCTATGAAGTATTTTGTAACGTTCAGACCATTTGGAGTGGTGAGGGAGTCTAAATGTCAAAAATGGACTCCGTCCATATGAAAACAGTGTTTTGACTCCTATTTCTCTGCATTCCAGCACCGTCAATAAAATACACTCTGCACATTTTTTTACATGTTAATTTAGTATAACATTAATTAAATTATTATAACTAATGTTTTCGCTTTAATTTTTTCTCTGATTAATTATAAAATAAAAAAGACATATTTCGATATAAAAATAAATAAATTTCATTAATTTTTTTTATGTTTTTCGGTTAACAAAATATGATCTTAATTCAAGTAAAGTTCGATTATGGAATATTCAATTATTTGTGAAGGCTTCATGAATTAAAGATTTGTGTTTCATGTTTTTCCGGGGTTCAAGAAAACTTCAACAGTTAAAACTTTAAAAAAAAACATTTTTATATATTACATATTGGTGTCATATGAAAGATCATAAAAATTTATGAATTTTGATATACTTTTTGAAAAATTTGGATAAAAAATAAAAAAGTTATACAAGTTTAAATTTTTTTGGGATATTATGATGCAGGGATGACATCAGCATGACATCATCTGCACCAGAAAAGCAACCTGCATTCTCTTTTCTCTTCTTTTTCTTTCCTTTTCTTTTTCCCACTCCCCTCTTACCCAACCCTCTATATTTAATACCTTACATCCCCTCTTCCATTTTTAATACCCTTTTAAACTACCACTACACACAATTAGGAGTCCAAAAATTCTACATTTAGCATTTTGGACTCCTAATACCTCACCACTCCAAATGGTCTCAATGTCAATTAATTTTCTTTTCTAGAAAAAACTTAACTTGTTGAATAGGAAGGACATGTATGTTGCATCAAGGCTTTCTTTGTGCAGACATTTCTACACGAAAAGAGCAAAAAATGAGATGGAAATTGTAAGTATACTACCCTACACTATATCTTGATTGATTGATTTCCAGAGTAGTACTTCATAGAAATGTGTTATCTTGTTTTGTATAATAATTTGCTGTATAAGAGAGATTTTTACTTGAGTCTCATATTTCTTTATATTTTTTTATTTAGGCTTATATTTACTGTGGGGAAGTAAATTCAACCATGAATTACTATATTTGATATATGATATTTCAGGTTTATCTCCTACACAAATGCTGCCTCTTCATTATCTGCATTAATTGTTATTTGAAGTTTTAGGATGAAGTTCTATTGTGCAAGAAAACAAGTGTAATAAAATTTAGTAGTCACTAAAGATTTGTCTTTAATTAAAAATGTAAAAGTGATAAAAACAAATTAGGAAATTGCAGATGTTTTACAGACATCCAAATCTTCTAACATCTCAACGTTTTAGGGTGCAATTTTATTTCATATAGTGGCAGTAACAAAAAAGGAAATAAACATTCAAATATTATTAAAAATAACAAAGCACCAAGCTCGCTCTTTTTGTTCCCAAAATAGTTATTCATCATGCATTATCAATACAATATCATCATTCAATCTTATCTTGATCTCATAAAATAAGATTCTTCAATTGTGGCAAGCCAAGATGGATTTGAAGGAAAAAGGGATAAGGGTCGGATAGGGCCTCGAACTTGAAAAAAATGTCAAATAAGGCCATATTTAGGATGCTCTGTCCGGCCGACGCCATTTGGGTCAGTTCCCGGTGGAATTTTTTGATGAATTTTTTTGAGAATCTTATTCATTAAGTCTAGTTTACTCATATCAAATTTGAACTAAAACTTCAAACGGGAAGGCATTCAAATGAATTATTGAAGATAACTGTGCAGTTAAAAGCGCAGTTATCTTCAAGAATTCATTTGAACGCCTTTCCGATTGAATTGTTAGTTCAAATTTGATATGAGTAAACTAGACCTAATGAATAAGATTCTCAAAAAAATTCATCAAAAAATTCTACCGGGAACTGTCCCAAATGGCATCAGCCGGACATAGCATCCCAAATATGGCCTTATTTGACATTTTTTTCCAAGTTCGAGGCCCTATCTGACCCTTATCCCAAGGAAAAACCATCTTAAGAGAAAATGGTATAATCGTACTGATTTTTAGGAGAAAAAGTGCTAATGAAAATCATTTTGATTTAATCATATAATGGTTTGATCTACTAATAATGTGAGCAATTTTTTTTAATTTCTGGAGTTATACATTTGGACAACAAGAGAATGCAGCTCTTGGCCACCAAGTTGAACTTTGCATTTGTCATTTAAGTCAAATTGTTATAAGTAGTACTCCGTATTATATTCAACTTTAATAGTATGTAGTAGTCTAGAGCCCGTTTGGTAGCACGAAAATCGTCTGATTTGGCTGATTCTGCTTAAATTTATGAAGTTCTGACTAAAGTGGCTGCATTGGCTGATTCTGCTGATTTAAGAAAAAACTATTTTTAAAATATATTTTGTTAATAAAATAAAGAGAAAATTATATGTAAAAATAGCTAAAATGGTCATCTGCAGTAACTTCAGTCAAAACAGCCAGAAAAGTAACTCCAACCTTACTTTTTCTGCTTATTACATAATTCAGCGCGCGAAAGCAAAATTTACATGTTTGGTGAAAAAGTTGACTGATAAGCCGAAAAACAGTGGTTTCAAACGGCCTCTAAAGTTTATATTATGTAAAAACAATTGTTATAAGTACTATCTGACTTTTTTTTCAGATCTCATTCAATTTATAAAAAACATTGTATTAGTAATTCGAGTGGTGTATGAAATGCAATTTTTATTTTGACCCCAAGTAATAATGGTATTTTTAATGCGTGGGTGTTGGTGTATATGATAAAGTAGTAAATACTTGTTGTCACATGTAATAAACAATTTCACATGGTATAGCTATCAATTAATTAAAACTAGTCTGATCTAAGTCTATACTAATGGTATATATAATTACTAACACTCATTACACTATTGACATAAGTTTTTTTTTTTTGAAAGCATATTGACATAAGTTAATGAGCTATTCGGACGGTAAGAAATATGTTGATATTGGTCTTTTATTTCCATTGGTATAGCTAATTAATGTCTATACCAAAAGTTTTTATATCTACTAACGCTTTTACCATTATTGTTGGTATATGGAAGTTTGTTTGTAGTGTTTGGTCTGAAATCAAAATAAAACACTAGACCGGAGGTAAACAAACTCCAATTTGAAATGTCATGTTCCAAACTCGAGCAACTCGCTCACTCTATATCGGTGGTTTAGGAGGGGGGGTGGGCCATCGGCACCGCTGGTTGAAGAATGATTGCCTCCCCACTGACCACCACATCCCAGCAATCTAGAGGCTCGACGACCTTCGTTTGATGGGGTCCAAAATTCTGGCTTGCTACCTCCGAATTAAGGCTTGTCTCTCTTTCTTGAATTCCCTACTCGTCTGTGACAGAAATCCTCTACGTAATTAACTAGCCTAAAATGTAACCTTCGATGAAGGTTCGTGGCTGCCAAACTAAACCCTACACTCGAGCGAAGCTCGCGGCGAGGCTCTTTTGTGGCTTTGGTTTATAATTTATGTTTCTCAGTTCATCTAATCTTTGGAACTTGCGGTTTTTAGTTCATCTAATCATAGCAATTGCTCACACTTAGGTTTTAATAGGAGTAATTCAAAGTCTTAAATAGTGTTTTATTATTTTATAAATTTTCGGTATGAGACAAATACTTTAACAACAATAATAAATAAAGTGAATGAAATGGCATGTATATATATAGGTGGTCACTTTTTTTGGGAAAACTCAAAACAACTGATATTTTATACTACATACCAAGTATATCTTTTATATTTATTTTGTTAATACCTATACATAGTACTTCATTTGTCCCAAAAAGATTGACCAATTCACTTTTCTCGATCAATTGTGATCAAGTTTAATTTGATCAATGATATTTTTAATACAAAATTATAAAAAATAAGAAAATTATATGAGCATATTCTTTATTAAAAAATTTATAAAAGTATAAAATTTATAAATCACACACAAATATATTATCTAATATCATTGTCTAAACTTTAACACCATTAATCAAGAAAAGTCAAATTGACCAATCTTTTTTGAACGGAGTAGTATTTAAAAAGAGGTGTATACATAACTCTTTATATGTACTCTATTTAGAATCATATAAACATACAAATTATGCAAAATAGTAGATATTATCACCTACTTCCCTTCAATTCCCTAGAACTATCACCAACTAGCATTATTATCTCTAGCTGCAGCCTGGAAGCACTTCTGGGCACTCTGTGATGCTCTCCAAAGAAGGCTTCCACCCAAAAGCTCTTCCTCCCCCTCTCAGCTTCAAGAGATCCTGTAACTGATGATCTCCATTAATAATACTTTCCCCTCCTATCTGGATCCTAAACAGAAGCCACTGTAACTCATCTTTTGTCAAGACAATCTTAACTCTCTTGTTACCATTACTGGGTTTTTCCAACCCACCATTTTTCTCCCCAGCCTCTTCCATCTCTTTTTTTTCTTCTTCTTCTTTTAATGGCTTATCCATGCAATTCCCCATGATTTTATCTCCTGAGAACTGCAAAAATAAATATGACTTTTTTCAATCTTTTCACTCAGCTCTTAGAATATATATGATGATATCCAACCACGACTATATATAGAGTGCATGTGAGGGTTAGTGCATTAGTGCATGAGTAGACTTTTTATATATAGATGGTGGGTGGTGTGTAAATTCATTTATGTACACTTATGGTCTCATTAATTTATTACTCCATTTTTTATTTTATTTATATTAATAGTTAATACTCCGTAATACTCACCGCCGTGGGCCCACAAAAGATACTTGTTCACACCTGATATAATACTTTTGGGACACGTGTCTGGAAAGAGTAAGCTGAATATACGGAGTATATTAATGAAAGATTGTCACTAAATTTATGGGAGTGGCCGAGTGGGCAACATGATAGGTTAAGTTGTCTTATACGAAAGTGGAGAAGTCAAAGGGTCAGACAAAAATGTTACACTTCTGAGCATTGGTCTGAATGCCACTAATGTTTGATTGCGAAATTATAGTGCAAAGTTCTAGGTATACCCAATTTAAAGAATTGTGCGAAGGAGATAACATAAAACCTAATTAATACGGAGTAAAAATCAATTTTATCTTGATAGTTAATATCACTACATCAGTCACAATATGTCAGGACTCGGGTATAAATATGCCGTTTAACATTGAGTTTTGCTAGGGTACACAAAATGTGTACACATGTCTATCATTCATAGGAATTTTGTATGTTACAGACAACTCATTTGACAGACATGTATACATATTTTGTGTAACTCAACCATTTTTCTTTAACATTATTAGTCAAAAGGTGCAGATAAGCCGCTAGCATTTTGAGCCTTGATCTATAACATGAAAATATCACATATGGAGTAGCAAATTGGGCCTTATCGATAACATGGAAACAAAACGACAACAAAACTACTAACTACTTTGCGCGGGCATTAGGATATGAGAATGTGGTGTAGTATTGTGGTTATTAAAAAAAATGAATTTGTGTGATTAGTATTAAGTTTATGAAGTAAAAATAAAGTTAGAATCATTTAATACAACACAAATTTTACTTAATTTGGTATGAGACAATGTTACTCGAAAAATCATAGTGGGCACGAAAGGATATAAATTAAGTTCATGATCATTTGGTCTCCTTAATTGACCAATCCACAATCTCTCTATAAGACAAGGTTTGGGGCCAGTGAGAGACTTTTCCATATTTGACATACATAAAGAGGCCGTTTGGCAACATCTTTTTTCGGCTTATCAGGCTTATCAGCCAAATTTTTCACTAAATACGTAACTTTTACTTTCGCGTGCTAAATTGTGTAATAAGCAGAAAAAGTAAGGTTAGAGTTACTTTTCTGGCTGTATTGGCTGAAGTTACTGTAGATGACCATTTTAGCTATTTTTACATATAACTTTTTTTTATTTTATTAATAAAATATATTTTAAAAATAATTTTTAGGGAAAATTGTCAAATAGGTCCTCGAATTTTTATAAAAAGGTCAATTAAGTCCTTCTATAGGAGGTTTTGTCCAGCCGTCGCGATTTGGGGCAGTTCCCGGTGGAATTTTTTGATGAAAAGTTTTGAGCATCTTATTCACCAAGTCTAGTTTACTCATACCAAATTTCAGCTAAATATTCAATCGGGAACACATTCAAATTAATTTTTGAAGATAACTGTGCATTTTTGCGTTCTCGAATTAATTTGAATGCGCTCTCGATTAAATTTTTAGCTGAAATTTGGTATGAGTAACTAAACTTGATGAATAAGATGCTCAAAAAATTTCATCAAAAAATTCCACCAGGAACCACCCCAAATCGCGACGACCGAACAGAGTCTCTTATAGAAGGACTTAATTGACTTTTTTATGAAAGTTCGGGGACCTATTTGACAGTTTTCCCTAATTTTTACTTATATCAGCAGAAACAGCCAAAGCAACTACTTCAGCCAGAACTTCATAAATTTCAGCAGAATCAGCCAAAACAGCCGATTTTCGTGCTACAAAACGGGCTCAAAGAGTGTTAGGAAAATGGTATTTTAGCCACACAAAAAATGACGATTAAACCCCTTTTAGCATTTTCAATAAATGAAAATGATGTTTGGTAAATAGTTGTACGGTCCTAGTGTTTTCGGATGGAACTGTTGAAATATAAGCGCTGCAAATATGAGAGTTTTAGGTCAGTGTTTTGAAATATATATATACCGTTTTCTACTAATTTTTATGGCCAAACAGCGAAACTATCAAACATCTTTTGGCAACTCACCAACATATTCTTCACTAGTCAAACTCGTTGATTGAATCTGTTATTGACAACTCACTAACATAATCAGACATCCGCTAAATGTGAAACATGGCCAAAATAAAACATTGAAAAACATGCATAACCATTTGATTTTTAGGAGTATGAAAGTATGTGTGTGTGAATTGAATAAGTAGGATTCTTAGTATGATTAGCATATTTTTAGGGACGAAGACAATAAAGAAGTTTAAATTAAAATTGTCAAGGGGCCGGTAATTAGGCAAACACAATAGCGGGCCTTCGTATCTTTGACACTGCGTACCAAGATTTCCCATAGGCCCATAGGTTACAGGACTTCTTTTATAATGAGTTAAAATATATGATAAACAATATTTTCCATTAATTATTCAAGTATGTGATATTGTGATCAAATCAGCTCTTCTATTATATGTTCAATGTTGACATAACATTTCTTAATATGTTAGAATTTGAATTTTTCGATTTTACATACATTACATTGACTATAACTAAGCTAGTAGTTCGTTTTTAAGTGAATTACTGTAATAACTTTGAGTCAAATCTATAAATCAAAACTTTACTACAATTTGTTCATCTATAAATCAAAACTTTACAACAATTTGTTTTATGGTCGAAAATAAATACATACTACGGTCTGACAGTTATATTCTAAATGAAAATTCCCATGAAAATGTGATCGATCTGCCTAATTCCACAAGCCCATAATTTTAGGTTATATTATATTCTGTGTATAATACGGAGTGTATTTTATTAATCCGGGCATTTAACATCATACATTTTCAAATAGATGAAACAGATTAAACAGTGGCTCATATAAACAACCGGTCCAATACTTGACTCGAACAAGCTAGATCACTAATTCCGGATAAGGTCAATGGTTCAAATACAATTTGAACCACTTGGCTTATCCCAAATTAGCTTGATTAGCTTCCTCTCACTCATTCCCATTAAGCCCGGCCGCTCATTGCCCGACTTGTTTGTCGTCATTGGATAAATATAATGGCCACAATGCATACAGATTTTTATCCCTACACATGTATTATGTAAGTAGTATATAAGCTTAGCTTACATGTGCATAGTGAGAAATTTGGAAGGATAATCAAAGACCGGAACTCGCAACTGGCGTGTGAAGGTTATAATTTCTGAATATTGGGTTTGATTTGACTTCTGATGCGTGTTAGTATAAAGTTTATCGATATTGAGCTAATTGAGTTATACTTCATCGGGTCTAAGCTTTAAGACCCTTGGGATGAGCATTCAATCTTTTGTATACCTACTCTCCTATCGTGGCAATACATTAAATGTTCTCAAAAGAAGTAATAAAAAAACATGCCTTATTCCGAGCATACATTTATGTTCAGAGGACAAAACCACCGATTTTAGGCCACTAGCTACTTGAATTGAATATACACACTAGTCGGGCATGGATTTCTACACGGCTAACTTGTCTTCAATTAATTGAACCTTCTAATTGTAAACTGTCCCGACCTCTATCCGATCGAGATCATCTGCCATATGGCGTGCAGGGGAACGTTAGGATGAAATCAAACATGTCTCGTGGTCAACAATTTATATCGATTCACCTCCATCCACACTTCAATCCTTCATCCCGATATATCATATATCCATCACTTCTACACAAATGTTCCTGTCAGGTATACCTGACAGGAACCGCCGTCCGCCCTCCTCCTTTTGGGGGCCTTCCCGGTAGTATGTTTTGCTCAAATTTTTTGTGTATGTTCCTCATCAAGTCTAGTTCATCCATACCAAATTTCAGAAACAAATTCAATCGGGAAGGTAGTCAAATGATTTTTGCAAGTTACCTGGTCCGGAAAATACATATTCCGGACCAGTTAACTTGCAAAAATCATTTGACGACCTTCCCGATTGAATTTTTTGATGAAATTTGGTATGGATGAACTAGACTTGATGAGGAACATACACAAAAAATTTGAGCAAAAAATACCACCGGGAAGACCCCCAAAAGGAGGAGGCCGGGCGGCGGCTCCGGTCAGGTATACCTGACCGGAAGATTACTCTCACTTCTAAAAGGTTGAATCCCCAATTTCAAGCGCTCTTCATGCCGACCCGACAAGACATATGAGAAGAGGTAATCTATTCAGTCATCCGAGTGATGGTATATCTTATATTCATGTGCATCAGAAGTTCAGCCCAGCAAGTAAGAGTTGTTCTCCACATGGTTAGTGCGGGATTTGCACCTTTATGATTCCTCCAAATTTCCTATCACTCAACTAATTGAGCAATTCGTGTGGATCATCACGTTATATCAAAGTGTGATGTAATTAAGTTTCTCAAGAATGAGATAGAATTTGTTTAACATTCATTTCACTTCAAGTCTCACTATTTTACATATTATCGTATTTGAATTTTAACTTTCAGTTTTTACTTTTGGTCAAAACATCGTACAGAATATTGTCACATACTCTTTCGACCACTTTTCTAGTGAAAATAAATAGGACATCATTTACAAGTTGAAGCAATAAAGCATCTTCAATGCAAATAATTCAGTCATGAAGAAGGTAGGCATATAAAAACAAATCAATGGCATTTCTCTCACTTTTTTACACTTTTGTACTCCGTATAATTTTGATAACTTTTTCTCAATAATGTCAACCGCAATTTCTATATCTAGACACTTTTCTTTATATTGTGCAGAAAAACTTACAAAAATACACAAGACCATTCAAATAGAGATAAATATTTTTCTTAGTAATACTTATGTCTATATCTTTCATGTCACATAAGCATATTGTGACACTGGAGAT